CTACCAGACCCTACCCAGGAATTAATAACCCCAAAGGAGGCTGCAGAAATAAATTGATAACCCAAGAGTAGGCCTACCTAATGACCAAGTACCAGTTATAAAGTATCAGCTCAAAGGCCACTCTGTGCTCTCAGTCTCCACGGTAACCTGAAGATAACTGGGTTTATGACTCATTAGAGTAGTCAGGGTCAGTGACCACCATGCCCTCCATTCCCTGCCTAAATACCACAGCTTGTCCAAGGAGGTGTATATCTTATGCTCCTCACTATATCACCCCCAAAACCATGCATTCCGTGTTTATTTCTCCACTCATAGCCTTGGAGGCCAGAGGTAATATTCCATTTGTCTGACACCTTGTTCTTGGGTCCTTCTGGAAGTCAGGTTGATATCATGTAACCCAAAGCCTCTACCATAGTCACACAGTTAGCATAAACTACATATTAGAACATTCCAAAGGCTTACTTGCTACTTCTCAGGTAATAGAGGCAAAGGGTCAAACCCTTCTTTGGGCAAGGTTAATCCTTTGCCACACGGTATTCAAAAGAAAGGAAAACATAAATAAAAACTTCTGCATAAATTTTCATAGCAACATTATTTTATAATAGCAATAAATAAATATTTGACTCCAAAAGTTGGCTGTGCTTTCTTCTTTTAGCCCCAAAGTGTACACAGACTTCCAATTATAAATACCACAGAATAACCTTTTCTAAAACTAGATGATCCTTGGGTTCTCATCAGCCCTCATTGTTCGCCATGCTCAGAGAGTCCAGTTTTATCCTATGCTTTTTCAGTCACAGTTCAGCTGGCCTTGGTGAGCTCCCAATAGATCAGCTCCACTGTCTCAGTGGGTGGGTGCTCCCCTCGTGGTCCCGACTTCTTTGCTCATGTTCTCCCTCCTTCTGCTCCTCATCGGGACCTTGGGAGCTCAGTCCAGTGCTCCAGTGTGGGTCTCTGTCTCTGTCTCCATCCATCACCAGATGAAGGTTCTTCTTACTTAGCTTCTTTGGGATCACCAAGTGTAGACTCCGTGACCCTTGTTTATGGCTAGAAACCAATTATGAGTGAGTACATCCCATATTCATCTTTTTGGGTCTGGGACACCTCACTCAGGATAGTGTTTTCTATTTCCATCCATTTGCATGCAAAATTTGAGAAGTCATTGTTTTTTAACGCAGCATAGTACTCTAATGGCACGGGGTTTTGAACCTACCTAATGTGCTGGCTTTGTGGGAGCCTAGCCAGTTTGGATGTTCACCTTCCTAGAAATGCACGGAGGGGGGAGGACCTAGGACTTACCACAGGGCAGGGAAATCTGACTGCTCTTTGGGCTGGAGAGGGAGGGGGAGAGGAGTGGGGGGAGGGGGAGAAGGGTGGGAGGAGGGGGAGGGAAATGGGAGGCTGGGAGGAGGAGGAAATTTGTAAAAAATATTAAAAATAAATAGAAAAAAATAATAAAAGAAAAAAAACCATAACTGGAGATTACATTGAAGCTATGGCAATAGAAAACATCTAATATAATGAAAAACAACTTGAAGTAATTGTCCAACTCAAAATCCAGACATAACCTTCACTTTGTTCTACCATTCTCTGCATGTATTAAATAATTTCTCTCCTACCTAATTAACCACATCATCTTTAAGACACATCCTAGTTATATAGAGCCACCTGAAGCGTCTCAACTCCTCTCCTAATTGGTCTTCTATTGCTATCAGAAAAAAAAATAAAAATAAAACTAGATGATTTTACGGCAGAGTTTGCTAAGAGACATTCCTTATTATCATCCATGTATTTGTCTTTTTTGTGTAATTTCTCTCTCTACAGTCTATAAATTTATCCTGGAAGACATTTATTCGTTTTTAACATTTTATTGGTTGTTGCTAAAATATGCCTTTTACTATTTGGTTTATAAGTATCTGTATATAGATTTAAGCCAATTGATAATAAAAATACTCAGATAAAAATGCATCTTGAGCTTAACATCATCCTCATTTTCATAAGGTTTGTCAAATATGTGGAAATTTTAAGGATACATATTTCTATGTAATATAACCAAATTTTCCAAAAGAACTATCCAAAGCTAAGAAGGGCTGTTTTGTGAGAATGTGCTTTTGTCAGTGAAAGAATCTAGTAGGTATCTAGATTACCACTTCATTGGAAATGGACATGTCTAAATCACATAATTTAGGATAAGTTTAATTAACAGTAAGTGTAAAGGCTGGATTAGATGATATTAGAGTTATATCCCATTCCTGATTTTTTTTTATCCTTTGAAGTTGTTTAAAGATAAACCTCCTGCCAGGAGTGGTGCTACACACCTTGATCCTAGCACTCGGGAGGCAGAGGCAGACTATCTTTGTGAGTTCAAGTCCAGCCTGGTCTACATAGTGAGTTCCAGGATAGCCAGGGATACACAGAGAAAACCTGTCTTGAAAAATTCCTTTACTAGTTGACAGTATTGTCTTAGAAGAAGAGGATTGAGTATTCAAGAAAAATGAAATAATTATACAACAAATAATATGAGACAGTCTTCAGCAACTATCAGTGGGGTATTAAAAACAGATCATCTCCCAGATCAAAGTTATAGAATGTAGAAATATAAACTGCACCAGATTAAAAAAAAATACATAAGTGATAATTAGGAATGTCTCTTAAGCAAACTGCTATAAAACCCATCTAGTTTTTAGAAAAGATCATTCTGGGAACTGAAAAAATGGCTCAATAGTTAAAAGAGTTCGATATTCTTGCAAAGGACCCAAGTTCAATTCCCAACACCCACATAGACCTGCTCACAACTCTGTAACTCCAGTTCCAGGTGATCTGACACCTCTTCTGACTTCCATATACATAGTAAACATGCATACACATTCACATGAATATTTTTAAAGTCATGTGATATTATAATTAAAAGTTTGTACATTTTGGTGGTAAAGAGGAAAGCCAGCTATTAGAAAATAATGCTGCTGTTATTTTGTTTTCATTTTTATTGGGTATCTTGAACTATGAAAAGTCCTGCCATATTCTTTTTTCTTTCTTTTTTATTTTTACTTTTAAAAAATATTTACTCTTGCCAGGCATGGTGGCTCATACCTTTAATCTCAGCACTCAGGAGGTAGAGGCAGGTGGGTCTCTGTAAGTTTGAGGCCAACCTGGTCTACAAAGTGAGTTCCAAGACAACCAGGACTACACAGAGAAATTCTGTCTTGAAAAAGTATATAAGTAAATAAAATAAATAAATAATATTTGCTCTTAACTTTTCATTCAGAAAATTAAGGACATTTGATTTAATTCATAAAGGTTTTGACAGTATATGTGGTCTCATTCTATTTTCTTAGAAAAAAAATCTCATGTTAGCATATATGTGTACCAATGTATTTTAAGATCTCTTAAAAGGAAATCTGTAACAACTTTTTTTAGTTTTTTGATAAAGGGTTTCTTTGTAGCTTTGGAGCCTGTCCTGGAACTTGCTCTTGTAGACCAGACTGGCCTTGAACTCACGGAGATCTCTGTGAGTGCTAGGATTAAAGGCATGCACCACCACCCAACTCAAAAGCTATAACATTTTAATCATAACAAATGGTAATTTAGCTTAGGCACAGGAATTTATGGGCTAGATTCTTCCTGCTCTTTCTCCCTGTGAATAGTCAGTGTGTTCCATGGTAATGTGAATGACAGAGTAGTACAAACTTATTTTAAAATGTCTGTGACAAAATCCTCCAGTAACTTACTACAGTGATGGAGTGTGTGTGTGTGTGTGTGTGTGTGTGTGTGTGTGTGTGTGTTGTCTAGTTTGGCTGAAATGCGGTTCTTGGAACTGAGGAGTTAAATTTTTCAATGTATGTCATTTTTTAAAATAACACGTATTTATTGAGGGAGCGCACACGTGGAGATTAGGGAATAACTTGCAAGAGTCAGCTCTCTCCTACCATGTAGGTCCTAGGGATCTAATTCATCATCAGTTTTGGTGGCAAAACCCCTTATCTGCTGAGCCATTGTTCCTCATAGTATGTAATTTTAATTAGCCTTTTTTGTAATTTTGGAGATGAAACCCAGGGCCTCACACATGCAACAGAAGGGTTCTAACATGGCTCAACATCTTGGCCCCATTTAAGTTAGTATAAATTTAAGTAGCCATTCATGACTGTGGTCTAATGCATAGTTCAGGTGTATTAGAACAATTTCAGGAAGTAAGGTTACTTAGATACTGGATTTATTGTGACCTTTTAGAGCCATGGCTGTCCTAGCAATAATATTAACTATGTCTTTTCTTTCATTTATTCTGAGCAACTGCTTTCTCAGTAGTTTATGGTATTGCCTGAATTCATGACATCCTGGTACATAGGTAGCTGATGTAGGTTCTGTCTTAAGCTTTATGTCCAGGAATTTTTCAGCTATTAGTAGGTAGTGTGTGAAAAGTATTACAATAAAAGCATATATAGGCAATGTGGAAGACGCAGAGAAGAAACCATATAAAACTTTACATAAATTAAGAGACTTCTCAAAAAAAGCAACTCAATACTTGCAGCTTAAATTGAAACCTTAAAATGGGAATTTCATATTTTTGCTCTTTTCTATATGACCAAGTTTCCTGGGTAACATAAAAAAATTCTTGGGCTGGAGAGATGGCTCAGAGGTTAAGAGCACTGGCTGGTCTTCCAGAGGTCCTGAGTTCAATTCCCAGCAACCACATGGTGGCTCACAACCTCCCTTGCGAGATCTGGTGCTCTCTTCTGGTCTGCAGGCATACATGCAGGCAGAACACTGTATGCATAATAAATAAATAAATCTTTTTTTAAAAAAAGGGGGGGGAAGCATATAATAATTTTTTAAAAAATTCTTACTTGTAAAATATGTTTCTCCTTTTTTTATTTGTAAAATATTTGTCATGGTCAAGCCTTCCCCTGTCTTTTTTGCTTTCTATAAGCTCACAGTTGGGGGCAGAGACATAGGTGTTCCCTATCCTCTTCCCATCTACTGCCTTAACACATTTTTTTCTCCTTCAGTGCTCTGTGAAAAGCTGTCTCACTGCCTTTCATGTCACCTGTGCCTTTGAGCACGGCTTGGAAATGAAGACTATCCTAGATGACGGTGATGAAGTAAAATTCAAGTCATTTTGCCTCAAGCATGGCCAAAACAAGCCAAAAATTGGGGAGGCCGAGTACCACCACCATAGAGTTGCTGAGCAGAGCCAGGCAAAAAGTGAGAAAACCAGCCTGCGGACACAGAAACTTCGTGAACTAGAGGAAGAATTCTACACCTTGGTCCAGGTGGAAGATGTTGCCAAAGAGCTGGGGCTATCTGCATTAACTGTTGACTTTATCTATAACTACTGGAAACTGAAGCGCAAAAGCAACTTCAACAAACCATTAATTCCTCCCAAAGAGGATGAAGAAAATGGCTTGGTACAGCCAAAAGAAGAAAACATCCATACTCGCATGAGAATGTTTATGCACCTGCGGCAGGACCTAGAGAGGGTAAGATGACCAGCTCTTACTATTGTCTACATAGAGATAGAAGATATTTTTAAAATGACCACCCCATTATATAGTGTGAGCTTCTGTGTCTTTCCTTATCATGTGAGTTCATTGTGGTCCCATACATTGGGTTCTGTTTAAACTTTGACTGGGATTGGAAAGGCTTCATAAGTACTTGCTCTATGAACTTTTAATTTATGATTTCCAGGTAAATTTAGTGCTATAAGAATCGAGAGAAAAGTTAGGTACTGTGTTTATCCTAGGAAATTTCATAATTGTCTAATTCTGGAAATTAACCAGGCTTGGTGGTACAGATGTCAAGTGCTATCATTCATACTCAGGGATAAAAAGGAGAGGCTAACGTATTATGCCATTATCTTCTCAGCTGGACTGTGTACATAAATACTGATCCTCTTAAATTGTAGACTAGAGAATAGATTTCAGAGAGAATCTTGGAGCACTTGCTCTTAAAGCCCATTGACATGGGAACCATGTCCCGATGATTGTCATGCTATAGTAATTCCTTTGATTTGGGTCATGGTCTGTGACCCTTGGGTCTTGTCTTCACTCCTCACTCCCACAGGCACCGGAACTCAGTGACCTTCAGTGTAACTGAACAATTTCAACTGTAAATTTGCTTATTATAACAAACATCTTTATTCACTGGGGATTGGGCTTGCAGGTTCGAAATCTATGCTACATGATAAGCAGGCGAGAGAAGCTGAAACTTTCACACACCAAAGTGCAAGAACAGATCTTCGGTTTGCAAGTCCAGCTTATTAACCAAGAAGTTACAGAAGGTAACAACCTGTGTGTTAAAATTGTACTAGCAAATATAGAGACTGATTATATCCATTTTTACAATTTGGTTTTATATCTATTGTGCCACTTAAAAATTGTTTTGTATGCTTCAGTCTAATTCTGATAATTATGTGACCTATTTCACTGTCAACTTCCAATGAGAAATTAATTCCTGGGTAGAAATTCCCTTCCAGGAAAAAAAATGAAAGGAAGGAAAAGAAATTCCAGGATAGGATTAGAAGAGTTGTAAATCTAAGCCAGATAATCTATTAATTACAGCCCTGAAAGTGTTTTGTAGTTATCAAATTCATTTAAAATCAAGAAGCCAACACCAAATTCTAGTTTCCAGAAACCATTTAATTCCAGGGTTCCTTATCTTAAAAGTAATCTGTTAAAACAGGTCTTTGGCTAGAAGTTAAAAGATATAGTTCTAATCTTTTCATTTATTCACTAATATTTATTGAGAACCTACTAGGGTAGTGGTTCTCAATCTGTGGGTTGCAACCCCTTGGGGGTCAAATAACCTTTTCACAGGGGTCATGGAAGACCATTAGAAAATATAGGTATTTACATTACAATTCATAACAGTTGCAAAATTATACTTATGAAGTAGCAATGAAATAATTTGATGGTTGGGGAACCATTAAGCATGAGGAACTGTATTAAAGGGTCACAGAATAGGAAGGTTGAATACCACTATACTAGGAACTAAGAACTAAACTAGAAGATAGAGCAGTCAAACAGAGAAATCCCTGCATTACCCACTTAATGATAAAGATACATGATGATACAGTAGATGCTTGGCTAGAATCATGACAGTCATGTACAGGACACTTCCCTATGTGTCTTTTAATATAGAATAGGTGGGAGAACCTGATCACTAAGGGTAACTTAGGCAAAATGTATAAAATCAGCACCTGTTAAAAGCCAACCATAAAATAAGAAAAAACATAGAAACAAGATGTTAGGTAGACATCAAAAGCCCCTGGGGTATTTGTGGCTGCATTATAGGATACTGGTATAGCAGGAAGTAGCAGGGATACTCAGCCACAAGGTTACCCCATAACATGACTGTCAAAGCAATAAAAAGTAAAGGAAAACAGGGAGGAGCCTCTATGTGATAACAAGATTGGACTCAGCCAAGTGGCTTCTGATTATAAGAATATAGCAGCTTGGGCTGGAGAGATGGCTCAGAGGTTAAGAGCACTGACTGCTCTTCCAGAGGTCCTGAGTTCAATTCCCAGCAACCACATGGTGGCTCACAACCATCTGTAATGAGATCTGGTGCCCTCTTCATGTCCAGCAAGCATACAAACAGACAGAACACTGTCTATATAATAAATAAATTAATTTTTACAAAAAAGAAAATAAAAACAAGAATATAGTAGCTTCCAGCATCAACATGTGGCAAGCCCTAGCAGAGATGGAGGCTGTAGTTGTTCGAAATGGTCCCTTGGGGAATGCATGCTATCCTTTAGGATACTTCCAAGCTATCCTTTCTCATTTTTATGAAGCTATATATTATAAGAAGATAATGGGCAAAGACCAATTTTATAGTAATATATCCGGGTAATTAATGCATCCTAGCATAGGCATCCTATACCTCTCCCAGGGCCAGCAAGATGATTCAGCAGCATTTGCTTCAAAAGCCTGGTGGCCTGAATTTGATCCTTAGAACCCATGTAAAGATGGAGAGAACTGACTCCATAATGTTGTCATCTACCTTCACGTGCATGCTATCGCACATGTGCCCATATATGGGTCCAATAATATTTTTTAAATTATTCTATACCCCACAATGGGAATTTGTAATCAGGATATTATAAAGTAAGGACATAAAGTATTCAGGAACCACCCACTGCTTCTAATGCCAGATTAAATAAAATACCTATGTGGCTTTCTATTTGGCTTGTTTGGGAATGCCTGAAGAGAATGAGCAATAAAATCTGAAATGTCTTGTGTTTGAGGCACATCTTCAGTCCTACTCATTACCCATATGCCCAATCATAAACAGACAAGAAATGAAAGACATGGAAATGGAGACAGAAGACAGAGCACACTAGTTGTTGCTATTGTTTTTTAGGTGTAAAGGTTGAGAGCCATGGATACTGTGGGACTCTGGGTTCATCCTCTACTGCAGCTCACTTTACCTGCTCACCATGGTATACATGCTCATCAGAGACAGTTGCTTATTAGACATTTGGAACAATAGGTTCATGAACTCTCTTTGTGATACACATATGCTTAATAATTAAATCAGTTGTTAAGCAAATCTTCCTTTTTGATTTCAGGACTTTCTTTGACAAATGCACTAGAGAACTCATTGTTTTACCCACCACCACGTATCACCTTAAAGTTGAAAATGCCTAAATCAACCTCAGAAGACTGCAGAGACAGCTCCACAGAAACAGAACACCAACCCTCCTCGCCTGGCAGCAGCTCCCCTGGTCACAATAAAAGGAGCCCACAAATGCCTGAGGAGGCGCTGGACATGAATGTGAAAATGTATCCACGACATCCACTAGAAATCAAGAGTAACTGTTTGCTGGCTAGTCACAGTCATTCTCGAAGTGAAGCCAAGAGTTCCAGTCCTGCTCAGAGAGCTCCATCTGCCGAGCTCTATCATGGGCAATCATTAGGAAAGCCTCTGGCCCTTCAGGCTGCCCTCCACGGACAGGCTTCTATTGGTAATGGGAAGAATCAGCCTAACTCCAGGCTTGCCGGTTCCAATGGTCTGGAGGGCAACTGGTCTGGAAACATCACCCAGAAAGATAATTTAGATGAGATTTTCTGTGACCAGGAGTCAATGCTCAGCCCCCACTTGCCCAGTCAGGGCAACATTAGAAAATCTGGCATAGAACACTTTAGCAGATCCTTTAAGGAGGCCACCAATACATGGGTGAGGCCCACTGAGGACCTCCAGTACTGTGCTAAACCAACTAAGAATGTGAGTTCTAAGGAGCAGTTGTGGGGTAGACAGCTTCTCAGGCGGTCAGCAGGAAGAGCTCCATATCAGGAAACTGATGGGTATTGCCCTGATTTAGAGCCCAGCGATTCAGAAGCAGAAGGGGAAGGGAGTAAAGAAACAGCAAGGGTAAAGAGAGAAAGTTCTGACCGAGAAAATCCTTCTCATGATTCTGTTCGGGAATGCCATGGGAAAAGCGAGACACATCCTCATTCCCACAGCTCAATGCAAAGGTGATCAGAAATACCTAAGCAGACTTTGCCCCACATTCTAGGGGAAATCTAAACACCCAAAGGATTCTAGTGTATATTAGGAGGAATTGCAGGGAAAATGATGGTATGATGTTTCGAAAAGGTTTCAGGTCTAGTTTTTATAAGCACATTACAAGAGTTGCAGATTGACTGGGGTTGCTTTGTTGGAGGCTGCTGGTAACAGTTGGGCCCAGAGTATTTGCTCAGTGAGTACTTCAGGACCGCTTTTCAGTTATCTTAACACACTGATTAAACTACGTATTAAGAATCATTGTATTGTCAATGGATTTGCGAGAGAACATGACAGACACTAAAGCTACTTATCTTTTTTTTTTTTTATTTATTAAGAAAAGAAGAAAAAAAACATAAACAAAAAACAAGTTTCCACCTCCTCCCAGCCTCCCATTTCCCTCCCCCTCCTCCCACCCTTCTCCCCCTCCCCCCACTCCTCTCCCCCTCCCTCTCCAGTCCACAGAGCAGTCAGGGTTCCCTGCCCTGTGGTAAGTCCTAGGTCCTCCCCCCTCCGTCCATATCTAGGAAGGTGAACTTCCAAACTGGATAGGCTTCCACAAAGCCAGCACATTAAGTAGGATCAAAACCCCGTGCCATTGTCCTTGGCGTCTCATCAGCCCTCATTGTTCGCCATGTTCAGAGAGTCCGGTTTTATCCCATGCTTTTTTGGTCATAGTCCAGCTGGCCTTGGTGAGCTCCCAGTAGATCAGCTCCACTGTCTCAGTGGGTGGGTGCACGCCTCGTGGTCCCGACTTCTTTGCTCATGTTCTCCCTCCTTCTGCTCCTCATTGGGACCTTGGGAGCTCAGTCCAGTGCTCCAGTGTGGGTCTCTGTCTCTGTCTCCATCCATCACCAGATGAAGGTTCTATGGTGATATGCAAGATATTCGTCAGTATTGCTCTAGGATAGGGTCATTTCAGGTTCCCGATCCTCAGCTGCCCAAGGAACTAACTGGGAACCTCATGTTGGGCACTTGGGAGCCCCTCTAGGGTCAAATCTCTTGCTCACCCTAAAGTGGTTCCCTTAACTAAGAATTGTGGTTCCGTGCTCCCCTATCCACCTTTCCTTTATCCCAATTCTCCTGATTCCCCAAGTCCCCCCTCCTTCCCTTCTACCTTTTCTCTCCCCATCTCCCCTTACCCCCATCCCACCCCACCCCCAAGATCCTGATTTTCTCACCGGCAATTTGGTCTACTTCCCTTAGCCAAGAGGATAACTATATGTTTTTCCTTGGGTTCACCTTCTTACTTAGCTTCTTTAGGTTCACCTATTTGTAGACTCCGTGGCCCTAATTTATGGCTAGAAACCAATTATGAGCGAGTACATCCCATGTTCATCTTTTTGGGTCTGGGACACCTCACTCAGGATAGTGTTTTCTATTTCCATCCATTTGCATGCAAAATTCGAGAAGTCATTGTTTTTTAACGCAGCGTAGTACTCTAGCGTGTATATATTCCATACTTTCTTCATCCATTCTTCCTTTGAAGGGCATCTAGGTTGTTTCCAGGTTCTGGCTATTACAAATAATACTGCTATGAACATAGTTGAACAAATGCTTTTGTCATATGATAGAGCATCTCTTGGGTATATTCCCAAGAGTGGTATTGCTGAGTCCAGGGGTAAGTTGATCCCGAATTTCCTGAGAAACCGAAACACTGACTTCCACAGTGGTTGCACAAGATTGCATTCCCACCAGCAATGGATGAGGGTACCCGTTCCTCCACAGCCTCTCCAGCAAAGGTTATCCTTGGTGTTTTTGACTTTAGCCATTCTGACAGGTGTAAGATGATATCTCAGAGTTGTTTTGATTTGCATTTCCCTGATTGCTAAGGAAGTTGAGCATGACTTTAAGTGTCTTTTGGCCATTTGAACTTCCTCTGCTGAGAATTCTCTGTTCAGTTCAGTGCCCCATTTTTTAATTGGGTTAATTAGCATTTTAAAGTCTAGTTTCTTGAGTTCCTTATATATTTTGGAGATCAGACCTTTGTCTGTTGTGGGGTTGGTGAAGATCTTCTCCCAATCAGTAGGTTGCCTTTGTGTCTTACTGACTATGTCCTTTGCTTTACAGAAGCTTCTCAGTTTCAGTAGGTCCCATTTATTCAATGTTGCCCTTAATGTCTGTGCTTCTGGGGTTATACATAGGAAGCGATCTCCTGTGCCCAGCTCCTGTAGGGTACTTCCCACTTTCTCTTCTATCAGGTTCAGTGTGTTCGGGCTGATATTGAGGTCTTTAATCCATTTGGACTTGAGTTTTGTGCACGGTGATAGATAAGGGTCTATTTTCATTCTTTTACAAGATGACATCCAGTTGTGCCAGCACCATTTGTTGAAGATGCTTTCTTTCTTCCATTGTATACTTTTAGCTCCTTTATCGAAAATCAGGTGTTCATAGGTTTGTGGGATAAAATCCGGGTCTTCTATACGATTCCATTGGTCGACTTCTCTGTTTTTATGCCAGTACCACACTGTTTTCATTACTGTAGCTCTGTAATAGAGTTTGAAGTCAGGGATGGTAATGCCTCCAGAAGATCCTTTATTGTATAGGATTGTTTTGGCTATCCTGGGTTTTTTGTTTTTCCATATAAAGTTGATTATTGTCCTCTCCAGATCTGTGAAGAACTTTGATGGGATCTTGATGGGGATTGCATTGAATCTATAAATGGCCTTTGGTAGAATTGCCATTTTTACTATGTTGATCCTCCCAATCCAAGAGCAAGGGAGGTCCATCCATTTTTTGGTATCCTCTTCAATTTCTTTCTTCAATGCCTTAAAGTTCTTGTCAAATAGATCTTTCACTTCCTTGGTTAGATGTACCCCAAGATATTTTATGCTGTTTTTGGCTATTGTGAATGGTGAAGCTTCTCTGATTTCCCTCTCTGCTTCCATATCCTTTGTGTATAAGAGGGCGACTGATTTTTTGGAGTTGATCTTGTATCCTGCCACATTACTAAAGCTGTTTATCAGCTGTAGGAGTTCTTTGGTGGAGTTTTTGGGGTCGCTTATGTACACTATCATATCATCTGCAAATAACGAAAGTTTAACTTCTTCCTTTCCAATTCGAATCCCCTTGATTCCATTATGTTGTCTTATTGCTATTGCTAGAACTTCAAGTACTATATTGAAGAGGTATGGGGAGAGTGGACAGCCTTGTCGTGTTCCTGAGTTAAGTGGGATGGCTTTGAGTTTCTCTCCGTTTAATTTGATGTTAGCTGTCGGCTTGCTGTATATAGCTTTTATTATATTTAGGTATGACCCTTGTATCCCTAATCTCTCCAAGACTTTTAACATAAATGGATGTTGAATTTTGTCAAATGCTTTTTCAACATCTAATGAAATGATCATATGGTTTTTTTCTTTCAGTTTATTTATATGCTGGATTACATTGATAGATTTTCGTATGTTGAACCAGCCCTGCATCTGAGGAATGAAGCCTACTTGATCATAATGGATAATTTTTCGGATGTGTTCTTGGATTCGATTTGCCAGTATTTTGTTGAGGATTTTTGCGTCGATATTCATGAGTGAGATTGGCCTGTAGTTCTCTTTCCTGGTTGAGTCTTTGAGTGGTTTTGGTATCAGAGTAATTGTGGCTTCATAAAAGGAGTTTGGTAATGACCCTTCTGTTTCTATCTTGTGGAATACATTAAGGAGTATAGGTATTAGATCTTCTTGGAAGATCTGGTAGAATTCCGCATTGAAACCATCTGGTCCTGGGCTTTTTTTGGTAGGGAGGTTTTTGATAACCTCTTCTAATTCTTCGCGACTAACAGGTCTATTTAGATTGTTCACCAGGTCCTGATTTAACTTTGAAACTATAACATGTGACTCCTTAGAGCTCATGTCTGTAGAAAGTTTCTAATTCCACTGGTATCTATAAACCTCTTTAAGGGAGAGACTGGGAGAGCAGCATTCTCAGATACTGTCACTATTGTCTTCCTTGCTTCGTGCAAGGTTGAGTTTCTTTCACAGTATCATATCGTATAAAGTCAATTCTCCTAAGTGTCCAGTGCCTGTTTCTAGACCTGCTTGTTTGGGAACACACTCATAACTCTCTTATCCAGCTAACAAGCTAACTTGTGGATAGTGTTTACGAAAGTACTACTTCCAAGGAAATGCTCTGCTTCTCAAGGCATTTGCAAAGACTTCAGAGCCTTTCCTGAAGTGTGACCTTTTCTGGGATATTTGTACCAGGTCAGGGTTTTTTGTGTTGTTTTCAAATAAGTTTGACTAAAGTTGGGCTGACAGTTTTTGTATACCTGCTTTAATGTTTATAAAATTTTTATTGAGGTATAATTAAAATATAGTGTAATGCGCAGAAGGTTAAGTATTCTTACCTGCTTTAATTTTGAAACAGATTTTTATTGTCAGACAAATTTGAAAGCATGTGTTTAACACATGGATATAATTTAGCTTTGTATGAATTTTGAATCCAAGGCAATTTCCCAAGTGTAAAAGTTAGAGCCATTTTTCAGAACTTGATTATACCACATTACCAAATAATCAGCCTTGATTCATTTCTAGAGGAAGAGAATTCTGAATTAGAGAATGAAATAGGTCTGCTTCCCATTTAAGATAAGGGGAAAGTAGCAGTTTATAAAATGGGAGGCAGACTGGAATTCTCAGCTCCCTTTTCTTCTTAGCCTTAAAATAATATTCTCTTCTAGTTTGGGAACATATGGAGAAAGTTTTCAAACAAGAGGCCATTTTCAATTTCTGAAGTTTCATGCTGGTGAAAGCAGCAGTAGGTGCCAGTGAGGGCAGTAGCCCTCTAGCCAATGCAGTGGAGCAGTTTGCCCCTCCTGCTTTTGTTCTTAGAACCTTGTTAAAGGCATCTTTGGGGTTTTGTTCTCCCTCTCCCTCTCCCTCCCCCTCTCCCTCCCCCTCTCACTCCCCCTCTCCCTCCCCCTCTCTCTCCCCCTCTCCCTCCTGTATTTTGCCTTTCCTTTGGCTGCATCTTCAAAATGTTTGTGTGCCTATGAACATGTATGAAATGTGTGAACATACTATAACATGTGTAGTAGGTGTTCTGAATTTTGTTTTAGTTGAAAAATGAGGAAAAAATTTCCTCTTAATACCCTCGGCCTCTGTTTTTGAATACTTCTAGGTACATATAAATTTAACACTTTCATGGTAATGAGAGTATAATGGAGGTGAGTGGTAAATTTCTTATATTAAAGGCCAGTAAATTGGCCTGTGTGCTTTCATGCCTTTGAATTCTGGGGGGGGGGTGACCAAACATGAAAACAGTGCTTTAGCCAAATTCCATATGAAATGCCATTGGGAGAGTATTGCCTGAAAAATCA